GATTTAAAAATTGTCAAAGTTGAAATTTATAATAAAAACATAGTAAGTGAACTCAAACTTTTGGAAGCAACTGTATAATTACTGGATCTATATATATAAAAAATATAATTAGTTATCTGAAAACTAAATATGATATAATCTATTATAATTAAGATAAATATAAAATTAAATTAAACAATATAATTCAATTAGCTTCTTGAAAAAAAATATAAAAGATTCTAGAAATTTTTAAAATATTAAATGCTTAAGCAGAACAAAACAACTAACAAGATAATATTAATTATAGAAAAAATGATATATTTGTAAAGTAAAAAGTAATATAGAAAAATAGATCAAATGGATTGTTTGTATAATCAAAATATATACTATTACTTAATAAATTCACATTTATTAGTTAGACATTAAAAAAATAAATAAATTAAAAATAAATTAAATTATTAAAAAAAAATTATTTATTTATTTAATTTTTTTTTTAATAAAATAAATATATTTTTTAAATAGATTTATGGATCAATAGCATAGTGGTAGTGCTTCCAGATCACAATTACAAGGTTCATAGTTCAATACCACTTCAAAATCAAAAATTATTCTTCTGATCAGGTTTAACTGGTTATCCTGTGAAAGTTGTATCCAATTATCCAAAACAAGTTCTAATCAGGTTAGGCTGCATGAAAATGGGACTTCTGGCCTTTCGTCGATCAGGAGCTGAGATCTATGGTCATACTACTAGAAGGATTGCATGAAAAAAGGCTTTTGATCTAGTCTACCATAAAAATGCTTCAATAACACCCTATCCTGGCAACCTCCAGAACTTATGCCCTCATAGCTTAGGATATCTCAATCTAATGCTCTGCTTAAATGAAAATTAGTTACATGGGACTGTTTTGATGCTACAGGTGATGATAAAGAAGGAAAGTACTTTCTTCCAAGGTCTGAGCAAATAATATATCTGGGAGTATTGGAAGGTGATTTAAATCTCATCGGATACATACTAACAGCCTAGTTTAGTAAATATAATACAAAAATTTATAAAGCTCACTATTAAATTAGCCTAACTCGCCATTGATGACTGTGTATTTGACCATCTGACCCCTAGATGGGTCTGCCTACTCACAAAGTGATAGCAGGTTCATCTATGGTAAACCATAATAGGTTATCATTAAGCTGCATAGATATAGAAATATATGATTTGTAGAAGATAATTGATGTAACTGCTATAGGATTTAATTATCCATCAAATTAAGTTAATTCTTAAATAAAGCTTGCATCTAATACTGGTTGTGATTTAAAAATTAAAAAAAAATATATTTTTTAATAAATAAAAAAATTTTATAATATTATTATTTATATATACTGTATTTATTTAAAAAATTAAAAAAAAAAAATTTTTTTTTTAATTTTTGAAAATAAAAACTTTAATTATATTAAAAAGATTTAAAAAATTTTGAGTAAAAGATGCTAATAGACTGTTACAAAAAAAAGTTTATTGAACATCTCAATTAAATAGTCAATATTTAATATAGTCTATATAAATACGTATATTCAAATGTATGGTTTCTTATATTATACCAAATTTAATAGGCAGAAATTTTTTAAATAATTACTTTTTAAAGTTCGAGCACACAATAATTAATAAATAGTGCACCTGAAGAAATTTTATTGCGCAAAATTTAAACTCTAGATTAATGTTCTTTATTTCATATTCGCCCGCCATCTATTAGATTTCAATAGTGCAATAATATTCTATTTCAAAAAATTTATCTATACAGATAATATAAAGTACATGTTTCTTAATGCGATAAACATTCCCTTTCCAGAAAAATGCCCAAGTAACTTTTAATAATATTCACGACGTATAAAAATAAAAATTGTCGGCCCCCAAAATAAGAAAAAAAGCATGCATATTATAAATAATTTTCAGCGACTTCGAAATAAAATTATTTGAATAAAGGTTGATCAAAACCGAATTTCTTCAAAAGTAAATAAATGAGTATATAAAATGTTAAATTTGATAATGCATAAAGTAAAAACGAGTTATAAGATTTAACGCACCTATACCAAGAATCAATCGTATTGTTCAGTCCAACTATGTATGTACTAACAACTGTCTTTGTAGTTCTCAGTCTGATACACTCTTCAATATGGCCACAACTTCTGTGATTGAAGAATAATACTGCTCGAATCCAGGAAAAAGGGCAAATGCAAAGAGCCATACAGTACACGACAAAGCCATTATGTGTGTAATCGCACGTGCAATGTCAAAATCGAAAACATAAAGGGGAGTATGAATTATCCTCAGGAAAGTATATATCACCGAAAAGCTACCATTTTTAGATTGTTAGATTATAGAATCCTTAGTAGTGCAATCCAAGTGATATCACCAACTAATATTATTCTAACCTAGTTCTGTATTTCAAAGGCACCTTGTTAGCTGACGCGATAATTACTGCGGCGAAGAATGCTACGAAGAAAAAATATAAGTAAATATTGGAATCCCAATTTCCTATACTTGTACGGCATTATCGAACCTGGAGCATTCTCCAGAGCTACTTGATGAGCAGCTATCATTCTTGCCAATGCCCCTTTGACCGATGATCTGTAGGCTCGCGGTTCCTAAAAAGAAGTCAATATTCCCATGAAATTACTCTCTAATCAATTTAATGAAATTGAATACACTCACATTATTATCATAGCCATTCTTTACTCCAAATGACTGTGCAATGACACTGAGGGAGGCCGTAATCACATATGCCCAAATAAACACAATGCCAACCATTATAAACGGTATATCCCTTGCTCTGAAATGGTAATACAAGAAAGGTAATAGAGATTCCTCGACGGCCCGTAACTGTTGCAGGGCAGCTGTAGCGAGAAAACAAACTGGTGGTAGAAGTAACAAGTAAAGGGAAACCTCTTTAGGAGAGAGTTTTGTCATGTTTTTCTTTCTCCTTTTGGTTCGGTGTTTTCTGGTTCTGTGTGATTGTTTCACTTTGAATATTTATCGGCGCGAAAGTCCGAAGGTCAATCAATATTGATTGTTGCAACAAGATTGGAAAAAACTAGAGATTAATTTGTTGTCGAAAAAGTTCAGAAGTAAGTTGAGCTTTGTATCATTGTTTATGAATGGAAAACAAACACTGCATTGCAGAAATATAAAAAAACGCACAATGTATGATCATTCCGATTTTGGTAAAAGTAATATGAAATTATAGATTTTTTTTCCCGCCTCGGTACTATTGTTGCAAATCACGCATTGTTACCACACTACCTGCTATGTCGGGTTATTACTATCTCATTTAAGCTGTTATACAAAAATTCCGATTACTAATGATTTCACTCAAATATTGTAATTGTAAGATGAACGAATTGCATTATGGCAAATAAATTGGATGTTCGTTGAGTGATCATATATCTTTTGGATTTATTGAATCACCTAAAACATCGATAAAATAAATGATCCCTCAGATGGTTTTCATGAATTTATGCAATAATTTAGATTGTGTAATAATGAAAGATCATGATTCATCATGATTCCCGAAAGCTGGTAATCCGAATTTAGCAGGATTGAAATCTTCTAAAGAGGAGATAACTTTTGTCGCTGCATTATCACCTGGATACAGTGCTGCCAGATTTGGATCCGGAACCCAAACAACCTTAAAATAAAACAACTTCACTAATTATACTTATTAAAAGGATATTATTATAGTCTGTTATGCTTACGTGCATCCCTGCATTTCTTGCAGCTTCTACCCCGTTGATCGCATCTTCAAATACTAAACATTTTGTGACGGGAGGGTTGCCCATTCTTGCACATGCTGCAAGGAATAGATCAGGAGCAGGTTTACCATTTTTAATGCCGGGATCATCCCCGCAAATAATACTATCAAATAAACCGAATAACTCTTGATTATTGGTAGCCTTGATATTGAATTTATCACGTTTTGAACTTGTTGCCACCTACATATGATGAACATCTATTAATCTCTTATCAAAAAGAAAAAAAAATTTTTGTTTTTTGTTTTATCTTGCATGTAAAGGTTACTTACGACTATTGGTACATTATGTGCTTTCAAATGTCTGATAAGTCGCTGGTTGTAACAAAAAATAGACGATCTTATCAGTAATGTTTCGTCAATATATGTGGGTAATTCATTAAAAAAATAAAATAAAAAATGAATGTCTTGTAAGATCAAACACTAACCATGACACCCGGCATTGGTTTTGCATGCGGGAACCTGAGGGCCTACACAAATCAGTATACACTTGAATTGCCATAATCTCGGTATGTGGCATTCGAATGGTGAACGTTACCTGTTTCTCATTCCGTTCCTTAAGGTATTCTTCAGCTGTTAAGTCAATTTTAGTTTCATTTACAAGGAGCACGGCAGCCTGTGTGAGATTTAATAGTTAGATTCTACATCTGTCAATGCTAAAAAGAATGAACCGGGTAAACACCTCGTACTCTCGTAACCCCATCATACGCGATTTAAGCTCCCACGTATATTCCTTTCCATATCTCGCCAGAATCTCTGCTATAGAGTGTGAATATGTTATTAACGAAACATTTTTAGAGCAAATGAAAGAAAAATTATTACATGTTACTTCGGTGTAAATTCTTTCTGTGTCCTATTTCATTTCAAACCAAAATTTAAGCATAGTATGAACATTCGTTATCGCACTCTCTAACTTCCACATAGTTAAAAGATCAAACCAGTAACAATCCTATTTCAAAAGAACCAGCCGCTGGAATTAATATAAGGATTGTTACTTCATAAAGAAGGTGACCTCACCATCCATGTCAAAAATACAATGCGTAATTATCATCATCGTTCCAAGTAGCGATTGTGTCAATATATCGAGATTTTATTGGCCAATAATTGATCGTCGGATCGTCGCCAGAATCGAATTTCAAGTAAATCCGATCAGATTGGTAACACGCATTTATTATGTCAATAAACAACTTAGTATAAAATATACTTGGGCAATGTATATGCATACATGTAGGATTTAAATCTTCTATCAACAAATTCTTTTAAGTTGAAGTAAGTCTCTAAGTTTAATTATAGAAACAATATAATTTGTTTTTTTTTTTTTTTTTTTTTTTTT